GTTCAGTCCTGTCGGGTCTGAATCTGCAGCACATAGGATCTTTTCTGTAGAAGACCACCACCAGCATCAGGATCACCAAACACAGGGCTATACAGGAGCCTGAAGAGGAGGAGGAGGGACATGACACTGTTACACCTTCAAGACGGAAAAGGAGTTCATAAATCATACAGTTCTATAAAGTCACATGAGCCAGAATATTCTACAGCTGAACAAACGCAAGAACTGACATTTTTTGGCACAAAAGCAGAAGAATAAAAGTCAACACTCACCTTGAATGTTTAACATGTAAATCTGCATTCAAGCTAGAAATATTGGGGTTGTTTCTAAAAGTTAAAGGTCCTATTTGTGAGATGTGTAGTGAGTGAAATGATAAAGTAACCTTACTCTATGATCAGACATTAAGGAAACATGTTATGTTGAAGTGCTGGCTTCTCTGACAACAATGCAGCAGCCAGTATGTCCTCCTTCTAACTTTAGATTCTGCTCCTGAATGCTCTGGATTTGTTTGGACCAGAGAAGGTAGGCGGTTTTAAGACACCCCCCACACGGCCGTTTTGGACACCCCTCGGTTTGCCAGATATGAGAGCAGTTATCAGGTCAAACCAGCAGGTGGTGCAGTGATGGAAGCGGGCAAGAGAAGTGGTTCAGATAGAAGTGATTGTACCCGACCTAAAAAGCCTCTGCATGTTTCTAATAAGCTCCACGAGCAGAAACGTGCTCAAACTAGGATCAATATTGGAGATGCTTTTGAAAAATGGAGAGAGGTTAGAACGCAGAAAGGTTTACAGACCGATGCAGAGCTGGCTAAACACTGAAGCTTCAGTGTCCACCACATGGCAACCTGCGTGAGCATCGACTCTAGAGAGGAAGGGACAGGAGGAGACAGCTCTCTTCAATGTTTTGATTTTGAACTGCAGTACACATTTTAAACACTTGGCGTCAGAGCTCCTTTAAAGCTAAACGTTATCAAGTCCTCACCTTTTAAAATCTATCTGTCTCTGCCAAAGTCGACACCAACAACAGGATAAAGGAACTCAGCTGAAAAACCTGTCCGAAACTTGTCACCGAAACTTGTCACCAATCAGTAACTAGACATAAAGAACGTTGGCGGCTTTTCATCATGAGTCTGGTTCGGCCTCTTAAAGGTCCTTTGTCCTCGCCACTGTAACTTTGCTAAATGTTGTTAAGTGCTCATGATTGATTGACTTACAGTGTAGATAACATAACAATGAGTAAGGTCTTTAACCTGCTCTTTGTAAAGTGTCTCAAGATAACATTAGTTACAAATTGGCGCTATACAGATAAAGATTGATTTTTAATTGCAGGAACAGTCCAGCTGGGATCAACTGGGATCAGGATAATCCAGATTCTTTTGAGCAGTCTTGCTCAAAAATTCTGCACAAACACAAATGATTACAACTGAAGAGTAGATTATCTGATTACATCCTGATTAGCAAATCTGATTCCTCTCTCTTAACAACCCGACTTCAAGATTTGATCTCATCCAACCTCTTTAATCCAATCAGATCGCTCCTAAACAAGTGAGACAAAGTCACACTCAGCTCCTTATGTTTGGTAACGTTTCACTGATTGAGAAACTCTGAGGGGGGAAATGTAAACAAAGGCTCTTTATTTCTGCTGCGAGTTTACAGTTTTATAGTCTTTCCCTTCTACACTGTGCATGAGATTTGTTTGAAAATAATGAAAGGCCTGTCTCGTACTGACGCCTGACCCAAATAAATGCAGGGTCATTTTATAGACTGTAAACTTGGGCTTCACCAGGGCAGCTTTAATGTCCTGTTTTTAGCATGATTCTTAAAAGCTCTGTTAGTTGACCATGTGTCTGAAAGTTGCAAAACAAAGACGTATACAAACAGTAAACCTACCAAAGACAGTTGCTTTAAACATTTCCTCACATCCCTCCTCAGTCATCGCTTTGTGTTTGTTGGAGATTTATACAAACTACACTTTAGAAAACTGGATGAAATAAGCAGACGTGGTAACTTCTCCTCCTCAGTGGAGGATTTATTTGGGCAATGCAGGGAAATAAAAAAAAGTTCTCTCACCTGAAGCCATGATGACAGTAAGCAGCTCTGGAGCCATCACAGGAGTCTCTCTCTCTCTCTCTCTCTCTCTCTCTCTCTCTCTCTCTCTCTCTCTCTCTCTTTTAAAAAGAAAATCGAAATCTCTGCTCACATCGTCTTCAGCTCGCAAATAAATCTCTGCTTTCCTCTGCAGCTGGAGGGGAACAGAGGGGAACAGAAACACTCACAGACACTGCGGACACAAAGAAGACTCCCCCTCCGGATGAACGATTGGCTAAATATTAACACAAAGAGAGTCAGAGGAGTCAGAGGAGTGTTGGCACAAGAAGCTCAAACACAAAGACAAATCTCTGCAGAGCGCCTCTTGGGGAAACTCTAGTGGAAGTTAAAGGAGACACGTGCAAAGTTCACCTGTTGAGAAGAGAAGAAAGACCTGGACGAGGTGGCAGCCGTTCAAAATCAAAAATATAAGAAACTAAGTGAGATCAAATTTTTATTATCAATCTGATATTGGTTCCTGTTTTATTTTGTCTTTACCTTCCTATGTGTTTGCTCTTACTGTTTTATTCCTGAGGTCTCTGTGTGTCTTCAGTGTTTCCTGTTTTATTTTGTAGTCCTTTCCCCCTGTGTTTTATGCCTAGTTTTACTTCCTGCCCTCATCCATTTTCCAGAAGAGCTTCTTGTCAACAGGCAAGGCAGGCAACTGCTTGGGGCCCCAGGCCAGTAAGGGGCCAAACCGGACAAACCTTATACCACAGCAGGGGCTCAAAATGTGCAAAATTTTGCAATGACAGAAAAACCTCCCTATAGAGGCCCCATCTGACAGCACTCCTCCATACCCTCGGAAGCATCGCTTGCATTTACAAACTAAACTTTGTCGATGGAATAAAAAAGAAGAGGAATGATGTGTGTTACTCAGATTCAGTCGTTTTTCCTCGTGACCTTTTTTAAGATTTTCCTGTTGCTCTTAACGTTGTGATTTTTAAGGAGGACTTTGTGCACCTTGGAAGAAGCACGCCTTTGTTTTTGCCTTTTTGGTTCATTAAAACTTTTTGAGTTCTGCAGTTGGGTCTTTTTCCATCGTTTAAATATTCAGAACCGTGACATTCTCACGGCAGCCTCTCTACATCACCATCAATCATCCTTGAAAGCGTGAACTTTTAACATTTTCTAGAACATGTCAGAACACTCAGGTCCAAAGATATGTCATGAGTTTCTGGTTTAGTTTTGTATTTTGTTTATTTCAGTGTTTGGATGTCATTTCCTGTTTTATTTTGTCTCTGTCTTCCTTTGTGTTGCTTGTTTGAATTATGTGTATTTATTTTTTATCAGTTTAGTCTTTAGTGTTTCCTGTTTTATTTTGTAGTTTTTGTCATCACCTGTTTGTTTGTTCAAAACAGAACAAAACATGAGTTAATCAGACCTATTTGTTTTTTTAACCAGGCTGTAAACATGTTAAAACAGGCTTTTAGAATGGGTGTGTATGTGACTTCCTGTGCCAGCCAGCCTCTAGCGGATACTCCAGGAACTGCAGGATTTTGCACGTCAGCATCTGCTTCCTTTTTCAACACTCGGGGGTTGATGCTTGGGGTGGGGAGCTAGTGTGTTTCCCCCAGCCAATGACAGTGTCACAGTTTTGCACCTCTGCTCATCTTCCTGCTCTCAACTGCTATCAAGCGAGTATAAAAGCCTCTCCTGTTTACCCAGACATTGCCAGATCGTTCTTCCCCTCATGCAAGACTTTCCAGCAACTCTTTGCTGAATTAATTACCCGGTTTCGACTCTGCCAGCCTCTGACCCGTCTTCTGTCTTTGCCTTCTCGGATAGTTTTGCCTTTAGAAGAGACTTCTCACCAGTTGCCGGCCCTGCCGCCTCCTCGTTTATGTCCTCTGCCTACTGTTTCCTTGAGTTTGAACTGTTTGAGTTTCCTTGAGTGTGTATCTGCCACTTTGGAGCCTCACACATTCACTTCTGTTTGTTCCTGACCGCTCAGGATCCAGGACTTTATGGGATTCTGGTCTCATTGCTTCTGTTACTTGTGTTTCTGTGTAACCCTAACCCTACAAACGCGGACATAGCAGCAAAGAAGAGAAAATATAAGCACAGGCTGTTTTCGAAACCGCCTACTATACTAGTAGTACCCACTGATTTGGTCAAAATGATTTATGCAGTATGCCAAAAATATCCAGATGTTGTGATTCTGGAAAAATCTACAGACCAGTCTGCCTGTGGTAGTTTCACCCCAGGTGGGTGACCCTCCCACAGCTAGGTGTTTGTTCTGCCCTCTGAGTCTGCCTTCTCACCGTAAACAATAGGACATGGAGCGAGAAAGACCGAGACACACAAATCCTTCCAGAGAGGGGGCGTGGTCAGACACAGCTCATTTACATTTAAAGGTACAGACACAGAAACGGCCTGTTCTGAGCAGGGCTGAAATAGAGGGGTTTATAGACATGATCAAATACAGGATCAGAGTGGATTTAGAACAAGAAGCTTCACAGACATGATTTGGAGAGCTCTGAGACTTATTTACACTGTTTGAAGAGGAGAATATGTGACCTTTAAAGTTGTATGTAAACTCTCAGAGTTTTAGATCAATAAAGTTTGTTAGATATCGAGCGGAGTTACAAAGCCTCATCCATTAATGTGTAGTGGGTTTGTTTTTCATCCCTACATCCCTTTCTACAAACTTCACATCTTCCCCTGTCTCTGATTGGCTGCTTAGTCTCATCCTCCAACGAGCAGCCCCTCCCCCTCTCTTCTTTGTGTTGTATTCAGAGTGAGCGATCACGACTCGCTTTGTAAACGTGAAGTGATGTAGTAGGCACACAAGACTGTGATTCACATGGAAGGAGGGGCCTGACTGAAGAGAGAGACACACAAACACGCACAGAGAGAGGCAGAGAGAGAGAGAGAGAGAGAGAGTCGTGGTGTGACAGCTTGTATTCTCGTCACACTCCTCCGGTGTTAAAGCGCGCAGAGAGGAGAGCAGAGGGAAGGACGACAGGATGGAGCGGATGGAGTCGATGGAGCCGATCACGGCGAACTACACCACGTCCTACCCGGAGATCCAGCCCGACAGCGGCTACCAATCCAGAGAGACCACCGAGGGCAAGGCGAAGACCCCTCCACCTCCCACATACGACGAGGAGTTAGTGCACAAGGTAGGATGATAGCTTTACAATTCTAGGAAAATTGTTGTTTTAGTGCCACGAATTTAAACTAAACAACTACTAAATTACCTCAAAAGTGTTGTTTTCTTCTTTTTCTGCATATTTTTATTTTTAATCATTTGTGGATTCACGTCCCAGATTGAGGTTTTGCGCTGTCCGTGGTGCTGATCCGCGCTTGGATGCGGTTTCATTTGGTCCGTTTCCAGGCTTGTTGCGTGTCTAATCTGGCCAAAAACACACGACTCTCTCTCTGATGAAGACTCAGCTGTTATTTTCTTACATGTTTGTACTGTTTTTTTTTTGTTTTGTTTTTTGCTGCTTTAGAGGAATTACGCTCTCTCTCTGTCTCTCTTTCTGTCAAAACGCCCTGAAGTCACTGAAACGTGTCCCAGATGTGAAGATGTCTGTCATCATCTCTCAAACATAAACACGTTTAAAATGCGTTTTTGAAATGAACTCTCTGTAGACTTAGAGCTCAGCCTCAAATATATTGGCTTTTTGAACCACATGCATAGACAACCTGCTGCGTCGTGAACGTAAATGTTCACATACTTTGCCTTTGTACGACGTGTGATAATGGAGGATTCCTCTAGAGGGAGCACCACGGGAATCAGGCTCATCGCATCTCGAAGCTCCAACTTCATCATTCTTCTTTCGCTTCGCTTGTGACTTTTTTCTTTGAGGTTTATTTGGGGCTTTTTATGCAGTTACATAGAGACAGGACAGTGGATAGAGTCAGAAATCAGAGAGAGAGACGTGGGGAATGACATGCAGGAAATGAGCCACAGGTCGGATTCTAACCCAGCCCGAATGCTAGAGAGGACCAGAGCCTTTGTACAATGGGTGTGTGAGCTAACCACTAAGCTACAGGTGCCCCTCGCTTGTGAGTTTTGAGCATGCAGAGCGCTCTGTTATCCAATTGGTCGACGTCACTGACTTTCCAGACCACATCGTTGGAGGAAGTAAAAAATCAAACATGCAAGACTTTGTGTCCGGAAGTCAGGGCCTTGATTGTTGTTCCCTGTGACTCGATAAAACGATCGATTTTTGGGGCCGATGAGGTCTGGACACCAGTCTGCCAGATCAAGCTCTAAACTTATGACGTGTAGTCCGACCCTCGGAATTAGCCTCTGCCTGTTCTCCTCATTCTTTCCTAAGGATGTACTGATGACTGTATTGCCCGATATCGGCCCCGTTGACAGACATCGGCCAATCAGCAAATAACGTGCTAGGCATCACAATCCGATGTTTATTTGTCGTGTGGCATCACTTAAACGCTGGAGAGCTGCTCATTCAGAGAAGAGGGGATTTTATTGGACAGAAGAAATCACCTGTTGGACAAACTGTGATTTGTTTTCATGGACAAATGGTTTATAAACAGTGTGGGAAACTTACTGCCAATTTCCACAGAACGCGCTTCGCCCTACCACACTGGGTCTTTTTCTGGGGTTTGAGCGCAGCCATGAGCAGCTGTACACACGGGTTCACAAGATCACAGGAGAACTACAAACAACATGTTGCTTTGTCTTTCTGAGGATGATTTGTTGTTGTGATGAAAAATAAGATCAGGAGTCTGTATGTTGTGTTTTATTTTTAAATTGACTGGACGCTCTGTGCGTTTCCTTGTCTGACTTCCTGTCCGGGTCGTTCTATTCCGTCCAGCTTGACATGTGACTGCAGCGTATTACGTCGAAAATAGACTTGAATCGGTAGTGTAGTGGAGCTGCTGGCACGCTCCGGAGACGGGCCGCAGCGCTCGATGTGGATACAGGACCATTGACTAGGGTGGCAGAGGATTGCACCGTAGTGCCCAGTGCTGACTGACCGCGGTGCCCATGGACTATGTGGACATTGGCAGTACACGGTCTCTAAAAAGGGTCATGACATATATAAGACATGTTCGTGTGACATTTCAACAGGAGGGACTACTCAGAACAATTTAAACACACGGAGTTGTTAATCAGCTTAATCGTTATTTTTAAACATTGGTATCGATATCGGCTCTGATTTCCCCAATCGATGCATCGTTATTTTGTTTTACTTGTATAGTGCATCCTCGTCCTTTCAATTGACGAGGAAAGCTTTAAGTCAAACACAGGACATTCAACCAGGAGACTGCAAACCTATCCTTTGAGTAACCCTTAACCCCCACCATGTAGGGTGTTAACACGACCTCAGTTTGTTTAGAAAAAGATTATGGTAAGATGAAAAGGACTTGGTGAAACGGCTCATCGCAAAGAGCGAGGGAGGCACACTTTCAGGCATCTTTACCAGCCAATCACAGCGCAGTGGGGCGGGATTAGGCTGAACCCTGTGGGGACAGAAATGATGCGTCCCGGTCAGGAGTGCTGACCTTTGACGTCGATGTGTATGGAACAAAGAGGAGAGAGAAACTCCCGTAGGCTGCAGTGAAATGTCGTATTGTGTGACAGAGACGTTCTGCAGTAAACAGCTGCGTCACATCAGTTGAGGTCACTGCAGTTTCTTTCATCTGGATTGTAGTTTATATTATTATTGGGTTTTTATTTCAGAATCAGGTCCTGCCTTTCCGTTGAGTCTAAGAAGAGTTGATGGTGATGTTTTATATGTGCACGCCTCGGGACTCACTCATTTTAAATCCCTCACTCATCTCTGTGGGTTGTATGAACGTGTTGGATGGTCTTCTTTGTCCAAATGCAGACTTAAACACCGCCGTATTCTTATCTACGAGTCTATTCAAGGTCTGCTTTCTTTGTACCTTCTGATCTATATCAGTGAGAACAGAAGAGGGACTCAGGATCTTTTCTTCCTGTCTGTTCCAAAAGTCAGAACTGAACCGTTTGCCAATTTAGTGCGGTTCGTTTGTGCAGGTGTGAAAGCTGTCAATCAAACCCTGGTGTGGACCAAACAACTGTACAGAGACCACTTGAAAAGGTGGGTGTCAGTCCACTTTAGTTTCGGACTCTAGTGAGTCTCTTTTGTAGTGAGAACATGGCCCGAACTCGATCCAACCTAACTGCAGGAAGTGAACACCGTGGCCCTTCTTTGTTCATCATAGCTGAACTGACGCGTTAAAGGTCACGTATTCTCCTCCTCTTCAACCAGTGTAAATAAGTCTCAGAGCTCCTCAAAACATGTGTGTGAAGTTTCTTGTTCTAAATCCACTCTGATCCTGTATTTGATCATGCCTATAAACCCCTCTATTTCAGCCCTGCTCAGAACAGGCTGTTTCTGTGTCTGTACCTTTAAATGTAAATGAGTTGTGTCTGACCACACCCCCTCTGGAAGGGCTTGGGTGTCTCAGGCTTTCTCGCTCCATGTCCTATTGTTTACGGTGAGAAGGCAGACTCAGAGGGCAGAACAAACACTAGCTGTGGGAGTGTCACCCACCTGGGGGAGGTGATGTCATGAAGGGAAATCTCCAAACGGCCTGTTTGAGCACACATTTTCTGAAAAGTGGAGCAGGCAAAAGACAGAGAGGATGGACTTTTCTAATCATTGAGAGGTTTGTAGGCAGACTAGAGACGCATATTAGAGTTAGAGAAACACGGAGAAAAGGATTTTACAGAATATTTCGACCTTTAAAGACCACAGGCAGACCTGACGGATGTTCAGAAACAGTTTGGGTGGATGAGCAGGACCTGGTTCAGGAGGGTCAATGAGCTCCTTCTCCTGAACTGTCTTAATAAGCGTCTTCAGCGACTCCAGTACATCAACATATTATTTTCAAACTGTATCTTTTGTCTACGGTATTAAATGCAAACATTATAAAAACCAATGAGCAGAGCCGACATCACTCCGTGTAGTCATCTGTCCATTTAGAAACTGTAAAGTGTCTCTGGAGCAGCCACAGCCAATCAGGAACCGACTAGTCGTTGTTTACTTCAAGGAGTTTTATACAAATACATTTTGACCAATCCGAGAGCACTTACCTTTCACATCACACAATATGGTCCTCTTGTAAACGTCCCCGTGTGAACGCAGACCGAACTTAAGGTAATAATGCAACAATGGAACAAACTGGTCTATGATTCAGACCAGAGCTAACGATCTAGAGGTGTGAAAACGCCCTGAGTGTGTTGCTCCCTTTTCTTGGAAGTAGCCTTAATGAGATCGCTGCTCTCATTGGACGATTTTAAATGACTCGGAGGAGGAAGACAAATCTGGCTGTCGATGTTCATCCTGATGTGTTTATGATTGTAGTCGACCATGACAAATATTTGCAGTGTTACTTGTCTTTTCATATGTCTCATATCATGTTCATTTGTCTTGCTGCTCATTTTATCCTCAACAAGTTTTTCTCTCCTGGGTAAAAAAAAAACCTTAAATAATAAAACAAAGATCCTGAGGAAAAACATTTCTGCTCCTCAGTCCTGAGCAGTGTGGGTTTTGAGAGTTTTCCCAAAGGCTGCTGGTCCGATGGGAGAGTCAGGAACAGTGTTTCTATAATGTGACCATTAAGACCAGCTGTCTTTAATTGACCTGGTGGCATGTGTGTGTGTATGTGCTTGGTGTGCGAGTGTGTGAGTGTGCATGTGTGTGTGTGTGTGTGTGTGTGTGTGTGTGTGTGTGTGTGTGTGTGTGTGTGATATGTGCTTGGTGTGCGAGTGTGTGAGTGTGCGTGTGTGTGAGTGTGTGTGTGTGTGTGTGTGTGTGTGTGTGTGTGTGTGTGTGTGTGTGTGTGTGTGTGTGTGTGTGTGTGTGTGTGTGTGTGTGTGTGTGTGTGTGTGAGTGTGTGTGTGTGTGTGTGTGTGTGTGTGTGTGTGTGTAGTGCATGAGACTGATTTGTTGAGGAGAGCAGCTGCTTTATGAACGTGCAGATTCTAACAACACGAGCTGATGTCCTCGCTTCTTCATTTGTACCGTGTTTACATTGTTTCTTTTCTCTGTGAGGGGAGCATCTGTCCGTCTCTCTCTCTCTCTCTCTCTCTCTCTCTCTCTCTCTCTCTCTCTCTTCCTCTCTCTTGCCCCTCAGGGATCAGGTTACATTACACAACATGAGAGTAGGACTC